TTTTAACAATTCCTTTGGAACAAAAACTCAATGGACTTTCTTGTCTCATTTCAGCTATTTTAAAATCGCATTGCCTAGGTTTGATCTAATTTTACTGCTGTAGAAGTTAAGGCACTTCCTCCACAGTTACTAAATCTGACAAATTACACCTGGGTCCACTCTAAGGTGAGTAAAAAATGTGCTCTTTGTTCCTGACCTCTTGGTCAGCCTGGAGATCAAATTCCTGGACACAGATCAGCACCACTCACATTCATTAAAAGCCACAGGAGACCTGCTCTGTATTTCTGTTCAAGAGGAGAACAAGGTGTGGGCTCTCACTGAACAACACAACTGCTTCATTCCAGTCAGTGAAATATGAACTTTTTACTTTCTGCAGTTTTGTTGTTGAGCAGTTAGTACGTGGATTGTTTTTTCCCAACACCCTCTTGATCTCAAAAGAACAGCAGAAATCAAAGAGGCTGGTCGATTTGAAGTGCCAACTCCCAGATGTGAATTAGCTGAATCTGTGCTGGCACAAAAATTCTGGCTTTAGTTAAAGTAACCCAAAATACACAAAAATGATTTCCAAATTCTACCTCCCCTGTACTCCAGTAGAAGAAGCAATTTGTTACCACCGAAGTGAAAAGCTCACAGAATCTGGTCCTCTCTGTCTAATCCTTTCAGCCTACGGGAAAGACATCACAGAGTTGACACTGAGTCACAAAGAGGAAACTGGAAACTAACTTGGTGGCAGAGAATCAAGTCTAGAGGGAAGTGGGATCCTTGAGTTCTACTGTGGGAAAAGCAGTCTGAGAGTCCCCTAAGTGCCTGACAGTACAAGACCCACTGGCCTCCAAAAATGAAGAAGAAAAAATAAGACACATAGAAGTTAAGCAAGTCTACGACCGGTAAGAAGATTCCTGATTCCCACATTCAACATTGTGGTTGAAACTACGTGGTGAAGAAACATACTACACAAGCTGCAAGGCCCAGCTTACAGCCTCCTGAGGCAGGGGTATCCTAGGAAACTCAGCTCTTCTCTCCTTGAACGGGTATCCGTTTCCATCTCAGACAAGGGGTCTGTCTCCCTCACACCCACTCACAATCCCTTTCAGTTAGGCCACTGAATTATTCCAGACCCACCAAACCACATTCAGATGCTCTTCCTAAGGTACGTAATGAGTATCACAGCCCATTTTGGTTGCAAATGCATGTGAACACTCTGATGTGCTGTAAATTACTTTCTACACACTAATTCCTGTTAAAATGTAAATTAGGGAATAGTACTTTCATTCTTTTTTGGTTTTCAGGCCATTGTACAAATTAACAATATATAATGAATGCAGATTATTACTTTTCTGTACCTAAATCAAGTCACAAACCATGAGTTGCAACTGAGAAGCTTAACAGGATGGACATTTTCATATCAAGGTCCTAATTTGATTTGTTTTAAATTAAAGCCACTAGCAATATCGGTTATGCAGAACTTTAAATTTCTACATAAAAGCCATTAGAAAACTATGGAAATCAGATGTGATTATTAGTTTACATTATTTAATGAATGATACCTTTTGGGTTACCAAACAGCATTCTCCGGTAGAAGACTATCAGGGATAGAAAAAGCCAACTTATGCAGGGGAAAAAATGGTGACTATAAGTAAATTCCCTTCAAATTTTGATTCCAGTAACATTTTTCTTAACAGTAAAAGAGGTGAAAGATTGTAGAAGGCATGCCCAATAGATAAGTATTCTCTTTGAAGATTCTAACTTTGGTGACCAATGTGGGTAGCATATAAGAAAGATTAGGACAGACCTACTTCATCAAGAACATAAATAGAGAAGGCAATTGATTCATTCACTGTTATACAATTAACAAAGGGTGAAATATGACTGGAGTTCATCCCATTTGACTCTTGGTATAAGAGTCTCCTTAAGAAGGCTGACAACTGTATAGGGGGAAACACCAATATGGCAATGCTAGTAGCAAGAGCTAACACTTATCAAATGCTTATTCTGTTTTAGGAAATCTGATGTGTGCTATGGATGCATTAATTCTAATTTCATAACCACCATTATCCCCTATCTCAAAGATGGAAAAATAGAGGCATGGAAACATTGAAACAAATTTATTTAAAGTTCTAGGACTGAATCAGTGGCAGAATATAGAAAAGTATCCACTGTGCCCAGAAATACAAAACTCCTATATTAATATTAATGTTATCAATAATTCTGAGAATATTTATCTTAATAGAATATTTTCATAGCGGTATCCCAACTACTGAATCTCCAAAAACACCTGATGTGGCTGAAATTTTCTGTTCATCAGCATCTGTGTTCTTGGTCAAAACATCAAGCGCCAGTGATTCCACTGGTTATAGTAAATCCCAAACAGAGATATTCCTCATTTTAAATTGGTGCCCAGTAGTAGCCAAGTCAAGCTTTGTGGAAATACCAAAATATATATTCAGGAAAGGATTTCAGAAGATGAATGAATACTACCTGTCTTGTGGCTTTTCCACTTTCCCCAATATTAAGATAAAATATTTAAATACCATCTGCTCAGTTCACATACAAACTTCAGTGTGAAGTACCATAAAAATTAATCAGGTTACTCTGCTTTCTTTTATTACTTCTTGAGCCGTTGAAAGATCTGCCTCAGGACTCCGGATCATTCCCCTCTCATGGCAGTTGTAATCTGGTTTAGCTATACCATCTCCTTTGACAGATGTCAGTCAGCTCAGGTAATGGTAGAAGTGTGTTGCTGCCATCATTTCAGCAGCAGTCAATTTAGGGATCCCTGCTCACTCAGGGATCCCCTTAAATGCTGTGTGCTTTCTAAAGATTTTTCAAAAATCATCCTATGATACTGATAAAAGATTGATCTTCTAGTACAGGAAGTTTCTCTGAAAATCAGAGGTCTGTCTTCAATGACTGCATGGTGTTCCAGAGTGGACTGTGGAGCTGGAAAGGCTCTCTCTGATTCTGTACCCAGAAACACAAACATCAACATTCTATTGACCCCGCGGTACGCTGGCAAGCTACAGTTTCACAGGACTCATTTCTGCTACTTTTTTTCTTTTCCTCTTTCACCTTGCCATCTTCTCACACATTTAAAAAAAATTAAAAATGATAGATATTAATTAAGCAGCATGATACAAACTGGATCTGCAGTTCTGAATCCGCAATTGGCATACCACCACCACCACCCCAGTCACTCTGTGCTTCCTGCAGTCAGACTTGCAGGTTTCCCAATGGGTATGATCAGTTACAACTCCTAGGGAAGGCCTGGAATACTTGTCCAGTTTGGGTGAGTGAAGGCTATTTATTCTTTTAATATCATTTGTTATATTAACTTTATCATTTACTATTTATTAGGTCCTGTGAATTAAATACATTATGTCTCTCTCTCTCTAACTCAGTGATTCAAATAAATAACAAAATAAATACACCTTTTCAAAAAGAGAGAAGACACAGTGTTGGATATAAATCCGCTGATTATCCACCTCGGTTTCTAAGGAAAAATTTAGTTTGGGGTCTGCCATAATTGAAGAGGCCTGATTGCTGACTACCAAGAGAAACAACAGCCAGCACCACAGACATCCGAACTGGTTCAGTGTACACAGCTCTGACTGAGGCATTAACGTTGAGCACACTTCTGCACCACGGTGGTTGCACCCAGATTAACTGCAGACAATAGCAGAGTTTTCAATAAGCATGTGAGACAAACAGGGTCAAGATTCTGAAAACAGATCAGAACAAAGGCTACCAAGGGGAGGAAGTGGTACTGTCTGAGCAAAAGCTGGCTAGTCAAGAGCTAGTCACAGCAATGCTAGGAATGCAAACGACATTGTGCATGCTGACTTCCTGGAGGGCCAAAGACTGATAGATAACCTTTGATTACAACTTTTGAAAAGAGCCAAAATTTTAGCAGAAAAGTACCCAGGAAACCTTTGCCTTAGCAGGAGTACTGCCTTGGTCCTATAGAGGTACCTTCAAGTAAAGGTGAGTTTTTCTGCTAAATATATAGAGTCCTCAAAGGATAAATGCCAGAATACTCTGATATAATCATCAGATCTCTCATTTTATATTTTCAAGGTGAAAAAATTCTGACTCCAGGGCAGAGTCACTTGGCCAAGTTGACATAAATACAGAGGGGCAGAGCCAAGGCCAGAAAAATGGTAATTATTATCCTAAGCTAACTTTCAGGCACCTTTCCAAGTTCATTGAAAACTTCACCTATGTAATCCTCATAATAACTCTGAAATAGGTATTCTTTTTATCACATTAAAGATACAACAACTATGGCTCGGCTGCTGGGGAGAAACTTCATTACAACCCAATAATCAACAATGAACAGTGGCAAGATTGAAATGTTTCTTATTTGATTTCAAAGGATCAGATGTCTACTTCCAGCCTTCTGGACCTCAGTCCTGAGAATTCTAGTGCTGAGCTGTCAACCTGGAATTTCCATTCTGCCTTGCTTGGCACCTTAAAAATACAAACTGCTGGATTTCATTTTAGTAAAGAGAATCGGGGTCTTCAAAGGAGGTAGGACTTCAAAATTGCCTTTCATCAGAGCTGGTCATTCTTAGTCATAGAGAGAGTTGAAAAACTGTAATCTACACAAGATTCTTTGTGATGACATCCATTGTAAAAAGGGGGTGGGGGGGGAATGGAGTCAACGAAGGCTGAAGGATCATTCAGAGCACCTGAATCTGAGCAAAGTGCAGCATGGTGGGTAACCTTCTCTGAGATCCAGCTGTGGGTCACAGACACCTATGCAGCATGGTCATATAAACGTATGCACATCCTGTTCCCATCTTGCCTAGAGGGATCTGTATCCCAAGAAAAACTAATGCTGTTTTCTACACCAGTATCAAAGCATGTGTTTTATTGTAAATAAAACCACAAGGTTTCCTTCTGCTCCAGCCATTGTCATTTAAAGTAGCCAAGTCTGATCCATATTTTCTTGATACAGAGCTTAAAAACAAGAGAGGGGAATTGTTGGAATTCAGACTTACCAAGGTGCACCATATATCCTGAATCCCTTCACTGTTACCTCCGAGTCTTGTAAGTAAATACTGTTTGTCAGGAGGGACTGAACATTGTCAAAGTCCTCTGGTTTCAATTTGGACACAGAGGGGAAGCGGTAGTAGTCCTGTTTAACAAGGTCTGCCATGAATTCCTTATCGAATGTCAGTTCATGATTTCCAGCAATCACTATTTTATATTCATATGGCAAGTTTCCTGAAAGAAGAAAAAAAGAGCATCAATTAGCACATTCATTTCCCATCACAAAGTACAACAGCCAAGACTGTGTGATTAGCAGACAGTATACTGAAATTGAAACAGCTCACATATTCATTCCTTTAAATTTCCATGTGAACCAAAATTTAAGACTACTCCTTTATACTAACACATGACAATAAACATAAGATGTGAGGCTGTGAAGAAGCTAAAAAGCTACAAAGAAGGCAATAAATTCCCCAGTTTCATTTAAAGAAGTCTCTTTTCTATTGCTACAAATTCACTGTGAAAAATCTACATGGCGATAAGTCTACACTTTATACTGATCCAGTAAATCATGATCCCTGAAAGAAGATCTAGAGCCAGAGTAACCTTCAAAACACGAAACAACCAACTATTCTTAACAACTCAGGATTCAGATTGTCAAAATTTTACTATAGCACTCACATGAAAGATGTGGTATAACCAAGCATTCCACAACTTGGATAAATGGAAGGAACCACATGATTCGATTTCATATTGTGATTCTAACGTTAAGTTTACTTTTTGGCTTCTGAATAAAAAGAACATTATTAAAGGTCCTCTCATTAGAAGGCTAACTTTCTTCCCATTGGGATCGGAGAAGGGGATGTAAAGCTTAACCCTCTTTTAATATTTATGGTATGGAAATGTGAGTTCTCCGTGTGTGCTTTTTATGCAAAAGTTTCCTGATCAAAATGAGATAATTCTGGGAAGAAGAATGAAAGCCATAAAGGAAAACCCAAATACCAGACTTCTGCATACTTTATTATGTTTGAATAATGTACTGATCATACATATTAATAACTCACTCGGATGGCCTAAGAACCAGAATCCAAAGGGAGACAGGATTGGTAGCTGTCCCCACCCTGAAATGAAAGCCCTTTCCCCTGTTCCCAGGTCACAACTCGTCCCCTGGACATCACTGTTGAGCTGCTAATCATTATATCTTACTGCATTCCGGAAGAAAAAACAGCAGGGCAATGGCGCCTATAATGTTAGCGTCCTCCGAATCCTGGATTCAAAGCAAAATTAATGTTTCCTGCTATTCCGAGAGGAAGTAATGTGACCACTAATAGGAAATTGAACACACTGGTTGTAAGAGCTCGTCCTTGCTGGCAAGCCAGAATGTTATGATTTCCTTAGGGAAGTTTGGAAGGGAAGAGAAGTTTTTTAGGGGTGATGAAAATGGGGGATTATGGAGGCAGGGATTCTGTGGTTCATCCACTTGAATTTCAGCAAAGCAAACTTGAAAGATAACACTGGAGCATTCCCATAATCTCAGAAACATAGCAAAAATGCATCTGATAATACTGAAGCAGATTTTGGGCCTGACACAATAGCCTAGTGTAAATCCCTGCCTTGCATCCACTGGGATCCCATATGGATGCTGGTTCATGCTCAAGCTGCTCCATTTCCTAGGCAGTTCCCTGCTTGTGGCCTGGGAATGCAGTAGAGGATGGTCCATGGCACCCACATGGGGACCCAGAAGAAATTCCTGACACTTGGCTTTGGATTGGCTCAGCTCTGGCCATTGCAGCCACTTGGAAAGTGAACCAGCGGCTGGAAGATCTTTCTCTCTGTTTCTCCTTCTCACTGTAAATCTGAGTTTCCAATAAAAAATAAATAAATCTTTTTTTTTTAAAATTTAACAGTAAGGAAGATAATTTTTTTAAAGATTTATTTTTATTATTTTTCATTGGAAAGGCAGATATACAGAGAGGAGAGACAGAGAGGAAGATCTTCCATCCGATGATTCACTCCCCAAGTGAGCACAACGGCCGATGCTATGCAGGTCCGAAGCCAGGAGCCTCTTCCAGGTCTCCCACGCAGGTGCAGGGTCCCAAGGCCTTGGGCCGTCCTCGACTGCTTTCCCAGCCCACAGGCAGGGAGTTGGAAGGGAAGCGGGGCTGCTGGGATAGAACCGGCGCCCATATGGGATCCCGGGCGTGCAAGGCGAGGACCTTAACCACTGCGCCACCACGCTGGGCCCCCAAAAAATAAATAAATCTTTAAAAAAACTAACAAAACACATTGAAGATTATATATTACAACATTATTAATTACTCCTTAGTTTTTATTTATTTATTTTTTAAAGATTTATTTTTATTATTTTTTCGTTGGAAAGGCGGATATACAGAGAGGAGAGACAGAGAGGAAGATCTTCCATCCGATGATTCACTCCCCAAGTGAGCGCAACGGGCCGATACTATGCCGGTCCGAAGCCAGGAGCCTCTTCCGGGTCTCCCACACGGGTGCAGGGTCCCAAAGCCTTGGGCTGTCCTCGACTGCTTTCCCGGGCCACAGGCAGGGAGCTGGAAGGGAAGCGGGGCTGCCGGGATTAGAACCGGCGCCCATATGGGATCCCGGGCGTGCAAGGCGAGGACCTTAACCACTTGCGCCACCGCGCCGGGCCCACTCCTTAGTTTTTAATATTTTAATCTTTTTAATTTTTAATTTTTGTGTTTCAAATAGAGATGCAATTGTACATATGACATATGTTATGGGGGGGAAGAAGTCTTAAAGAGAAACAAAATGTCAGAAAGTGTATAAAATTGCAGAAAGATGAAAGTACAAACACAGAGGTAAGCATCAATGGATGTAACTGGGAGCCTATTAAGAGAGGCTATGTTGAAAAACTTGCAGAAATCAGAAAGCCTTTCCTTTAGCGTGCCTTTACATGAATTTTGCAATTAGGGTGATGTTTAGTGCAGACAGAATGCTGATGCTATATCACAGGTCTCCTGCACTTGAAGAACAGATGATAGATGTATTAACAGGACCACACATTCCCACCCTACAGATATGCAAGCCACACCCCTCCCCTTTAATACTGCATCCCAGATTCATCTGTGCTCCCAAAGCCAGAGGAAACTACAAAGCCCTTCTGGACAATAAGCTATTCCAAGGCAGATCCTATCTGTATGAATTTTGGAGCAGTTACGTGGGCATATCAGATTGCATGTAGGTGTCCAGTTACTCCTTAATCATCCATGAAGAGAAAAATCACTCCAGACCCTCTCAGTATGCACCATCTCCCTTACAAGAGCTTGGCTTCTCAATTTGCTCCTGTTTTAAATCTCTGGTTTGGAACAGGTGAGACTAAGACACAGGGCAATTGAAGTACATTTTCCCCCTCCATAGTGGTTTTGATAAAATTGCTGCAAAGTAAATTTTCGTCAGGGAGACAGGTATCTTTGGTGTCTTTTAAATCAAATTTTGGAGACTCAGCATAAAGAAGTAGCTTCCAAAATGAACAGCCGCAGAAACAGTAATGATATTTACACTTCGCCAGCAAACTCATCTCTTTCTGAGGATCCAATAGTAGTTTCCAGCCTCCAGCTTCTGCTACCTGTGTTATGAGATTGTCTGACATATTTTCTTTTTTTTTCTGAACTGACCTTTCATCTATAATCTGCCAACCTTTATGTTTTATATGAAAAGTGTACACCAGGCAGCTGACAAATCTCCTGTTACTTGATGGCATTTTCATTTTTTCCAGACTAGATTAATTTGGAAGGCTCTGCAGTCAAGCTTCAAACTTCTTGGTATTCAAACATCATCACTTAAAAAATTGTCAGACAAAGAGGTGCCTGTCTTTATCCATTTTATTCAAATCCGACCATCTAAGCTGACTTGGTTGAATATTAAAAAAAAAAAAAACTCAGATCACTTATAGCTATTGTAAAATGGAAAAATCCTTGCTCCAAATGACCTAAAGAATGCTTGCTAACTGAACAGCTCTATTCTTCCCGAGATGTGGTACATGTTCTGCTAATGGTAGACAAGCTTGCTTTAGGTACATTGGAGAAGAACTTTGGATAAAAAAAATACTCTGGTATATTTAAAAGATGCATGTTTGGAAAATACAATAATATAGTCATGTAAGTAATGATAGTTTTCTACCTATATAGTTATCTATTTTTATATATATTTTGAGACAATAGCAACACAGGAAATTCATAGATATAGCGAAGTGATGACAGCAGCAAGTGAATGATTAAAACATATGAAGGGAGCCCATCAACTCAACTTACAGCTACAGGCCATATGCAATATCATTAGCTCTCAAAGCCATTTGAGTACTTTCTGCTCTGCTATCTTCTGCACTAAGTGGTGTCCCATAAATTAATACTCAGAAAATTTAAAGTCACCTGCAATCTCACTAATTGCTAATTTTCCCACAGTATTGCATTCCTTACTCCCCAAGGTAGCCATTTTCCAGATTCCTCTTTATTTCTCAAACTCACTGTCACTGCCTCCATGATCTCCAATTATATGGAGAAAGTCGTGTGTGCAATGTCTTCCCAGGGACCTGTACTGCAGTGAAAGCATGTTGGGCCTACTGACATCTTCTGTGGGTGCCAGTTTGAGTCCCAGCTGATCAAACTCCCTGCTAACATGGCTGGGAAAGCAGTAGGAAATGTCCCAAGTGCTAGGGCCCCTGCATCCAAACGGGAGACCTAGAAGAAGTTTCTGACTCCTGACTTCAGCCTAGTCCAGCCCTGGTCATTGTGGCTGTTTGGGGAGTGAGCCAGGAAAATAGAAAACCTCTCTCTCTCTCTCTCTCTCTCTCTCTCTCTATCTCTCTCTCTATCTCTATCACTATCTCTCCATCTCTGTAAAATAAATTCTTTTTTAAAGGATCTTTTCAGTTTTGAATCTCCGTATTTTGCATCTTTTTATCTCTCTAATTATTAGTCTCCTAGTTTTATTCTTACCACTCCCACTAACACCTTCTCATCTAGACATCTCTGGCGTTGTGAACTTCTCTGTATATATGCTAAGTCCTCCTCTGCAATGAATCTGTTTTCCCACTCATGGAGATAAAAATAAGCAACACTTGACATCTGTATACACATACATGCCTCACACATGATTCTGATTCTGAACACCCTTTAGTACTGTTTCCTCATTGAAATGTTTCCTCATTTCACATCTCACTACAAGGAGAGGGTTCCAGACACTCACAGTTGACAGAC